AGAACAAAACAAAAAGTCCTTTTGTCATGCAGAAAAGGGGGAAAAATGCCTCCCACCTTACATTTGCAGGTTGTTCAGAGCAAGGTGGTTTTTGATCCTCACCCTTCATTCCTCTTCAGGAGTTGGGGGTTTGGATCCCGCTCTTCCCCGTGGAAATAATCAGAATAATTTCCAACTGGGCAGAAAGGAAATAGAATTTCAAATGAACGATGAGCAAGGAGGACTTGGATGGCCATGCCTCAGGGACGCGCCATCTCCACTCTTTCCCTTTCCCACCCGCAAGCTCTCGGTTCCGTGGCACTGAGAGGTGGCGGGTTGTGCAGGAGCCTCTAACCTCCTCCTCCTCCTCCTCCTCCTCCTCCTCCTCCTCCTCTCCCTCCTCTCCTCGCCGGGCGGGCGGGCGGCGGTGGCGGCGCAGCCTCAGCACCCGGCGCGCGCGGGCCCTTTAAGAGCTCCACCAGCCGAGCTGCAGTTTGACATCAGCCGGCCGGCGAGGGCGCGCCTGGAGCCGGAGCACGTGCCAGGATGTTTTATTGCCGCCGCGGCTGCGGCCGGGCCGGGAGGATGTGTGTGTGCGTGCGTGTGTGTGAGTGTGTGCGCGCGCGCCCCGGGGGCGGAGAGGCGGGGGGCGGCGGCGGGCGGCGGAGCGCGGGGGCTGGTTCCTGGTCCCCAGGAGAAGCCAAGAAGGTAAATAGCAGCTGCTGTGCTCGAGCCTGGGAAAACCCCGCCCCCTGCCCCTGGCCAGGGCTCATTGGCGCGCGCTGCGTGTGGTGTGTGTGTGTGTGTGTCGGGGGGGGGGGGGGGGGGGCCCTCCTCCTTGGGGCTGGGAATCCGAGGGGGCGGCGGGCGGGCTGGGAGCCGAGCCCCTGCGCTTACTGCCCCCCCTTTCTTTCCCTTCCCCCCGCGTTCCCCCGGCCAAGGTCAGCCCTCCGGGGCGGGGAGCGCGAGCCCCAGGGTGGAGAGTGGGGAAAGAGGCCAACTCCCCACTCCACCCCTGATCTCAGGCTTAGGGGTTTCACTCGGGCGAAAGCCCGGGGGAGAGGGGGGGGAGCTTCTTGTTTGCTCCTTGCCCCGGCGGCCCTCCCTCCCTCTCTCCCTCCCTTCCTCCCCCTTCGGGCCCCGGGCGCCCGCCGCGGTCACGGGACGCCTGACCGCACTTAAGGAAGCGGCCGGGTCAGCCTCCTGCCTCCGCTCGGCGGCTGCGGTTACAGCGGCTTCGCGCCGCCCGCCTCTCCCCGGGGTCCAGGGCGGCCGGCAGCTCCCCCTCCCCGCGCCCGGAGGCCGCCGGCGGGCGGCCGGGAGGAGGCGGGCGGCTGCGTGCTGCCGGCTGGCCGGGCCGCGCGCCGCCAGGAGCCGCCGCCGCCGCCGCCGGGTGCCACGTGGCGGGCGCCGGGCCGGGAGCGCCAGGGCTCTGGCGGCGGCCTCCCTGGGGGATTTGCCGCGCAGGGCGGGCGACGCGCTCTACCCCGGCCTGCCGGCCGCCCTTCCTCCCTCCTTCCCTCCCTCCCTCCGGCTCGCCTGCCCGGTTCGTCCACCCCTCGCCCCTACCCCCGCCGCCCCCGGGAGCCCGGCGCGCTGTTCCGGTGGCTCCGGGCTGGAGCAGCCTAGGCGTCTTGTTTGATGTCGCCCCCCTTCTTCCCCCCCCCCCCCCCCCCGCCCTTCCCCGGGCTTGGAGGCCGCTGAAGGCCTGGCACACATTTCTCAGACACTTCATTCCTTCCTTCCTCCGAGCTCCCCACTGAGATAATGTTGTAAATGATTTCACCAGATCTCCTCCTGGCTGAGATTAGGGCGATTCCTGACTCTGGGTGACCTTGTGCAAGGGCCCCCCCCCCCCCCCCCCCCATGATGGAACGCCACTGTATGCCAGACAGTGTGTTAATCCCCCGGATTACCACGTTGGGAGAGACAGTGGCAGCCCTACAAGGAGTTTCCAATCAACTCTGGAGGCAGACAGACCCTGATGTTTTTGATTGATGACCAGGCATTCCTCTACCATTCCTTTCTTTTTGGGCTTAGGTGATGGCGGGAGAGATCAGGAGAACCTAACAGAAACACTAATGCATACATATATATGAGCAACCGTGCTGGTCTGTTTGGGGATACAGGAATGAGTAAAATAGGTGTTACCCTCAGGAAGCCCACAGACTAGAGAGAACTATATTCCTAAATGCAACGAATGTCTGTTTCCCAGTATATTTCTCTGGTATGTCCTAGTTCAGTAGAGACAGTTATATGTCTAGACAGAATTAAAATGCTGAAGAGGTTTAGGATGATTAAATTACTCATAAATTGGGGTATCCTGGAAAACTTCCTGGAGGAAGTGGCCTATGCTTTGTATCTTAAAAGATAGGATGAGGGGCCTTGGAAATGTGGTGAGTCATGGGGCCGGGGAGGAAGGATGGAAGTAACCTGTGGCATTTAAGTCGTAGACTGGAACTTGGGGTCCTCATTCAGGGAAATGATTTGGACCCCAGGGTGTGTGTCTGGGAGGCATATAAGAAGGGACTGAAGGAGGAGGCTTGAAGTTATGACACAAAACTCTGGACTTCTCTTTAGACAATGGAAGGCTATAAAATGCTCGAGTGGAGAAGAGACATTAAAGTTCTCCTATACAAAGATGGCTCTGGCAGAAGTGTGGAGAGTGGGTTGTAGGATTTGAAGGCAGAGAGCCCAGTTAGGAAGGTCAAGCCGTTAAAGAAGGTTCCTCAGTGACAGGTGGAGGCTGTTACTCCCCGGGAAGCACCTGCCCAGAACCAGCTCACCTGGGAAATGACTGCACACTGTCCAGTGACCCAGGCTCAATGGAAATCTGCCTTCCCTTTAACGCACCCCTTGTGATCTGGAGTCTAAGGCAGTGAGCCGCAAACTGCGGCTGGCGAGCCACATGACTAATGGGTTTGCCAACCACCGACCTAGACTCTCAATTCCAAGAATTACAGGCTGTTGTTCCTTGTGATTAAGCCCCTATCCAGTGGTCGGCAAACGCATTAGTCAGCAGAGCGGCAAACCGAGGCTCGCCAGCCGCATATGGCTCTCCGGCCGCAGTTTGCCGACCACTCAACTAAGGAATCCTTGTGATTTTGACCGTATTTACCTTCCTAGCCTCATTTCCACCTTTCAGGACAGCCCTCAAGTCTGCAGCCAAATCTTAGCTCATTGCAGGCTTGATTTACTCCTTCTTGCCCTCAGGCTACTCTCTGGGAGCGTGTGTGTGTGTGTGTGTGTGTGTGTGTGTGTGTGTGTGTGTGTGTTAACACTGTGGAGCAGGCTGTGCCCTATCCTGTTCTGAAGAAATGATGAACAATGTCTCCTTTGTTGACCTGCAACCTGGGCCAGTGGGGTAGTGCTTTGCTTTGTTATTTTTAAAGAGATGGAAATGTGATGATGACAGAAAATTGTCTGTTGCTTTTGAAAATGGTGGAGTTTTCCTGTGTGTTTGAAATCCTCCTGGTGCAGGGTGAGGAGCCTGTGAAGTTACCCTCCTTACTGCCATGCAGACGTTGTAGTCTTCTTAAAATGCTTCTGCTCAGCATGTGAATTTTTAAAAACTGCCTAAATACTCCGACCCAGATTCTTCCAAGGAACTGAACTCTTCCAGGGAAGCGTGTTAACCCTTTCTAGGTTCCCCCCAAACCTATGAGAGTCAGTAAGTTCTCCGGGAAGCTCTGCTATGACATTGACTGCTGTCTGCTCTTGGGCCCTAATTAACTAGCTGGGTACACCATTCCTGTCTTTTATAGTCTAAACGTCTTTTATTTTTTGGCCTAACTTCCATCTCCTCGGGATTGGGCACCCTGAAGGTGCACAGAAGTTAGGGTCTTTATATATATATATATAAATAATATATTTTATTGATTTTTTAAAGAGAGGAAGAGAGAGAGAGAAAGTTAGAAACCAATGAGAGAGAATCATCGACCAGCTGCCACTTGTACACCCCCTACTTGGGATGTGCCTGCAACCCAGGTACATGCCCTTGACGGGGAATCGAACCCAGGACCTTTCAGTCCACGGGCCGACGCTCTATGCACTGAGCCAAATCGGTTTCAGCTCAAGTTAGGGTCTTACTGCCATGCGTACAGCAGCCTCCTCAGTCAGTTAATCAGCAACTTGTTTCTGGCTACTTCAGAAGTGTGAGTGTGAAGATCCGGGAGAATGAGCAACTAACTCTCTCTCTCTCTCTCTCTCTCTCTCTCTCTCTCTCTCTCTCTCTCTCTCTCTCTCTCACACACACACACACACACACACACACACACACACTTTCAGATAGGCAGAGGGGTCAGTTAAGTGGCTAAAATGTGGTATGAATTTGTGTGTGGGCCAAACAAAGATAAAAACCAACCCAGGAAGTTGCTGGCCCTCCACCCTAACTGTTTTTAAGAAGAAAGCTTCTTTGCAAATATGCCCAACAGACTATTTTTCCGTATCCTTTTCCTGGGCAGTGAAAATAGCACCACGTTGACACACTCTCCACCCCTTTCTCAAATGGAGAATTAAGCTCCTAAACTCGAGAAAAGACCTTGGATTTGGAAGGCTCCTCTTAGACCGCCACCACCTCTATTTTTCAGGCATCCCCCTTTCTCTCCCAAAGCAGACAATATTGGGCCGTGTTGGCCAGCGGTCATGTCTTTGATCCACGGTGAGACCAGCAGCTCACACGGCGTCTTTGCTGCTGTATCACGCCCCGTCGGTAGGACCAGAGGCTGCTGTGTTTCCTCTTTTCCCTTTTCTGCTCCCAAGAAGGGTTATTCTCTGCCTTGTTGCTTCACCTGTTTGCTTTAAACCTTAAAACAAATAATGCATCTACACGTCCTGAGACCCCCCTTTGTCCTGGAGTATCTGAATGATTTGTGGGTTTGGTTTAAAGCTCCTGAAAGGAGAGAGAGGGAGAGAAGAAGAAGAAGAAGAAAAAAAAAAAAGGTATTTTGCCTGAGGACTGGAAGCTCTCCCCCTTCCCACCCCCACCTTTTTCCTCCGCTTGACTGACTTTCTCACACTCGGATTCCCTGCAGCCTGCCAGAGACGTGGTCGCTGCCCTGCCAAGAGCTATCTGGGAGAGCTATTGAAAGAGCCTTGAGTAAGTACACACTGGGCGGATTTTCTCCTCCCCTCGGTACCTGCTCCGCACCTGTACCAGGAGCAGTCCCACACATATCACCTGATCTCGGCCCTTTCAGAGACCGTGAGAAAAATAAAGTCCGGGATAGAAGAGATGTTTGTCGTCTCTCCAGGGCCGCAGCCGGCTCCCCGCAGTCCCGGTGCTTGCCTGTGGGCCTGTGTGCGTGTGTGCGGGGTGGGGGCACCACCACAGGAACGGGAGCGAAGCCCGAGATCACCTTCGGAATGGCTGCCCGGCTGCCTTTGTGTTCTGGCACCTGCCGGACTGCTAGTTTTATGATCCTTTCCTAGAACCATTCTTATGGTTCTTCCAGACAAGAGTCCCTCTATGCGCGTCACAGCAGAATTCACAACTGGGACTTCTTACCTTACGGTTCACGGGTGAACTCCCAGAGAGCCTATGAAGCTCGTGAAATGGAATTCAAAATTGTGCTCCATGAATACGTTTTTGAAAGAATAAATGGATGTGTTATTAATTAATTAGTTTGTTTTTGTTTGTTTATTTCCTGAGGAGAGGGTCCATAGCTTTCACCAGAATTTCAAAGCATTTTGTGACCCCAGAAGACTGATGGAACTGAGCCAGATAGTCCCCATTTACAAGTGGACACTCAGCTTCAGAGAGGGCAAGGGACTGGCTCAAGGGTCCCCAATACCGTCCGCCAGAGTGGGGGCCAGCTGCGAGCTGGGAGCTCTTTGGGTCACACCACAGTCCTGTGGTCCCGGGTCAGTTTAGAGTGGGGGTTACAGATCCTGGATTGAAAATAGACACATTAATAAAGACACTTTGAATTTCCAGAACTTTTTCTCTGTCTTAATTCGGAGTCACTGGAGCTGCTCTGCACCCCCAGTTTTTGGATGGCAAAGGGATAGGCTGGAAAGCCAAGTGTCCAGGCGGAGAAGAGGATTCCCTAGCGCTTGGAGCAGGAGTCCTGCTGGTTGCCATGCGGGGGCATCGCACACAACTGCAGCCCTGCATTCCACCTTTGATAAAAATAAGTCGCTACTTCTGAACAAAACTGCTCCGTTGGTTCCCGGCCAGGCCGGGACCTTGGACTGCTAGCTGCGGGTGGAGGTGGAAGACAGAAGCTTTCAACATTGGCTAACAGCAGCCTGCAGGGCTTTCCGCCACCCCCACCGCCTCTTGGAAAACTCGCTGGAGCCAGAGAGACTCTGAAGGAGGGTGGTTGCCAAGAAAGCCTTTCCCAACGGGGTGGGGGCAGGGCGCCCTTCACTCCCACATTTGGCCCGGCCACAGCAGCGGTGGGAAGGCTCTGAATGTGCTCTTGGCTAACCTTTTACCCTCTGAGCAGCATTGCAGTGAGGCAAGCCTGCAAGCCTGGGATACAGGAGGTCATTTCCCAGCTCAGAACTATACCCTGGCTGGTGACTCGGGGGTGGGGGGTGGGGGGGCTCTGGAAGGCCCAGGAAAGGGGGCAAAGCCTACCAGGCGTCTTCAAACTATGGCTCACGGGCCACATGCGGCCCGCAGAGGAGTCTGATCCGGCCTGCCAGGTTTTTTGGGCAGTGAGCGCAGCCGAGGTGTTACAGTAGGAATTAGCAGTTCATATAGTCCAGCCCTCCAGCTCTCTGAGGGACTGTGATCTGGCCCCCACTTTAAAAAGTTTGAGGACCCCTGGTAGCCCCTTTCAACCCAAGATACGCGATTGTTTGGATTGCTGAGAGTTGTTCTAATGGGGATATCAGACCAAGTTTCTCAAAATATCACAAACAAAAGCAAAACTCAGCTAGCCAGGAAAACGACTTACTAGGTAAAATTCAGGGCCTAAAAGCAATAAGGGGCAGATGCGTATAACATTTTAATGATAACCGCCGTCATTATTATCTTTGCATTATCTCTCAGAGCAAAGGGGAGAGAGGAGGCAGGGGAAGGGACTTAAGTGGCTGGATTGGCCCCTCATGGAAGGCATTGGAAAACTGAGCCCAGGAGGAAGTGACTTGCCCAAGGTCAGGCAGCCTCCCCAGAGAGGCTATAGCAAAGCCAAAATCAGCTCAGGTTTCCTGCCCACCAGCCCAGAAAACCGCCCCCCTGTATCTCTCTATGAGAACATTTTGAAATGCCATCTACAGCAAGTGAGTAACATTACCACGAAAGGCGGGTTTTCCGGCTGAGCTATGTGCTGGTGAGTGATTTGGGTAGTCTGACAGAATATGCCCAGCGCAGAGCCCGGTTAAATGTCAGGCTTGCTGCGTTGAACTCTCTCTCGGGTGTGCTCATCCCTCCAGAACCTCTGGAAAAGAAGGGATCTTGACTTCTGAGACCCAGGAGATAGGAAGCCTCTTAGAGGGTTCACACAGGACAATCCTGCCTCATGTCATTCCTTTTTTCTTATCATGGTCAACCTGCTTCCTTTACTTGTGCTCTAAAAGGAAGGTTGGGGGAGAGATTATTTCCAGCTCTGAAGTAGTCTGTGTTCTGTCTATACTAGGCTTGTGTTAGGCCCAGAGAAGGTGCAATGCTGGTGATACAGTGAAGGCCTTGGGGCACGATCACATCGAGCTGCTGGCTGACTCACATTTAGCAGAGGGAAAGGGGAGAAATAGAAGAGATTTTGAATGGTATTTGCATGTGAAATGTACACAGAAGTGGGCAAAAGTATGTTTATAATTGTGAGTATAGGAAGCAGTTCATCCTCAGATTATTTACTAATTATTGTATTTATTTGTGTTATTATTACTTAGTATCCTTACTTATGATTCATCTTTTAGGTGATCATGGCTGGTAATTTAACCTATTTTTGCCCACCCTGTATTTTCCTTTTGGGTATCAGGCTTAGGGAATGAAGAGAAGCTGTTCGGGCAGCTGCCACAAATGCAGCGTAAGACTGGTGGGTGCTGGCACGGTTGGGCCCTTCCACGGAGTTGGAAGTACCTGTTTCCTTGCTTTGTTGAACTTAACAGCTGACTAGGCACTTTTTAGTCCATTGCGACATGTTGTCATTACATATAGCCTCATGACTTAGAAAGACTTTAGTGGGAGAATGGGGGTGGGAGTGGGGTGAAGAGACAGGATTCAAGTGGTCAGTGCAGGAGACATTCAACAGGGCCCTGGGCTATTGGGGGCACAGGATATAGGACAGATGAGCTTTCTGGAAAATAGTGGCTCTAGAGCAGGGGTGGGGGAACTTTCCTCTGCCCAGGGCCATTTGGATGTTTATATTATAACATCATTTGTGGGCCATATCAGATTAACAGCTTAAAAATTTGTTATATTCAGTCAGACATTTAATTATCTCACCCCTAATGCCTTGGCAGGACCAACCAAATGATTCTTGGACCTTATACGGCCCTAAGGCCCGACCCTCCCACCCCTGCTCTAGAGAGACAAGGCCGGCTAGGGAACTTAGAGGCCAGGAGAGAACTGAATCTTGTTTCTCAGCCACAGGTGACAATAAGATTTCTAGAAACTTGCTGAAATCGGTTTGGCTCAGTGGTAGAGCGTTGGTTTGCAGACTGAAGGGTCCCGGGTTCGATTCCAGTCAAGGGCATGTACCTTGGTTGCAGGCACATCCCCGGTGGGGGGTGTGCAAGAGGCAACTGGTAGATGTTTCTCTCTCATCGACGTTTCTGGCTCTCTGTCTCTCTCCCTTCCTCTGTAAAAAATCAATAAAATATATTAAAAAAAAAAAAAAAAGATTTCCAGAAACTGGAACAGCGGGGACAGCCTGGTGTAGCATATTAGTAATCCAGAGAATGCACCTTTGGAGCAAAGAGGAAAGGTCCTTTCTCTTGGTGAGAAGCCAAGAGAGAAAGGGGGTGGGGGTGGGGAGGAGGAAGTCAGGAGAAGAGATCTCACTGAGCAAGAAGATGATTGAGCAAGTTCTGGGAAGGACACAGAAAGTCTCTCCTGGGCTGAGGCCGGAGCTGCTTAGTTCAGCACCCAGTGCCTTTGGGGGGATTTCCTGGAAGGCCCTTGGCCCGGGAGACCAGGTCTGTGACTGAGGGCCCTTGTAGAACTCTGGAATCCGCATCGCTTTTCCTCTCTAGTTAGCGTTGCTCTATGCTGTCTGTATTGCTGTCAGCATAACAAAGTCGCATGGCCTGGACCAGGTTCAGGGGCTGCTTACGTGAGACATTATGTGAGGAAGAGAAAAGAACCTTCCCTTTTGCAGGGTCAGACTACCACGGCTAGCCTTGACTGAAATGCCAGAGGAGCAGGGGAGGGGGGCTCTGTGTGACATGCTGTGTGTCTGTCTGACCCACAGAGGGCCTGAGAAAGTCCCAACGTGTTACTGGCTCCCCGAGGAGATGGCCACGCTGTACACATCTCACATGTATCCAGCGGGGGGCCTAGTCCCGCTGGGCTCCCACAGTCACAGAGGGCCCAGGAACCACGTTCGAAGAGTTGCCATCGTTGTCCGGGGTGGCTCTTCACCCTCTGCACCCTCATCACCTGCCCTCAAAGTCTGGCACCTGGACAGACCTAGACGGCGTGTCTAGAAGCACCTGCCATCAGACAGATGGGGGAGGAGTCTCCACTTATTTTCTCTGCATCTGGTGAACCTGTGTTGATGGTAGTCAGACAGTACAGTCAGGGGTTTAAACCATCCAATTTCCAATGACCCGAACGTAACTTGAATTAACTTTCAAATATTTGAAGAATAGTTGCATAAAAGAACTTTGACTTAAGTATGTCTTGTTGGCAATGTCATGGAACCCTCCGAGGGTTAGCCCATTTTCCCGTTTTCTTTGGTTGCTGAATCAGAGAGTTGGGTTGACTTTGACCGCTCCTGGTGACTACTCTGGGCAGCCAGGCTACCCTTGCGGACAGCCCTGCTCTGTTGCAATCCAGTGAATTTAGAGGAGTCTGTGGCTGTCCGTGTTTCCCCAGGCCTATCTTTATTGATGGTTATTAAAGACACACCACCACATGGCCATATGAAAGTACAAAGCAATTCCCAGGGTAAGGTTCGTGGGAAGGAGTGAGATACTGAGCTCCCAAATAATTCTACTGTAATCGCGGGCTGCCATATCTGTGTATAGTTAATAAGTAAGATTTAAGCAGGCAGGTTCCCCCACTGGGCAGCAGATGCAACGGCAAAAGAGGCCGGTGGGAGATCCCTGGTCCTTCTGGAAACTGGGAAGGGGACTGAAAAGGAGAGTCTGGTGGGCAGTCCCAGAAGCCGGCAGGTCCCCAGGAGGAGGGCCATGGTTTAACTGCGTGTGCCCTCAGTCTCTCTATGCCACCCCTCATGGGAGATTCTGCATATCCGAGAAGTAGAGCATAATCATGCCCAGACACACTGGGTTCAATAGGTGTAAACACCACACACAAAACCACCTGTTTTTATCGAGCACCCCACCACACCTGCTGTTTTACGATGCTGAGCGATATTGATAAAGGGGGCTATAAAGGCGAGGTGAAATGGCCTCATGTTTAAATAGCACCTTCCTCTGTGAACTTCAAGTGTTTTACAGCTGAGATTTGACTGACCTGGTGATCATTTCTTACAGGAATGTTGAACACATAGCTCTATATATCTGTTCAGAAAAGAAACTCTAGCAAGTGATTAAAAAGTAAAGACTTTGGAGACTGATGACCCTGGTTCACATCCCGGCTTGTTTGCTTTCTAGCTAGTGACATGATCATTCAGTACCTCAGTTTACTTACCGGTTCTGTGGGGAGACATTCATATTACCAAGTTCATTATGAGAACCACTGTGTAGAATGTGCTTAGGACAATGCCTGGCATATGGTAAATACAGTGTGCCTTGTCAGCTGTTTTTAGCATTGCTATGTACGTATCTTGGACGAGCAACATAGGTACCCTCATTCATCGGGAAAAAAGTCACAAGATGTTAATATTCTCAAAGAAATGCACAGCCACTGTGGTCCATTGGTCCATGAGTATCTGACAAAGCAGAAGCTCCAGCTGGTATTTTATGAATCTCAGGGCGTGCGAGCAGGAGAAACCTAAAAAGGGATCTGGCTTCTTCTTTCCCAGGGAGGAGGGTCTCTATTACCCTCGCTCTGTGGTTGCGGCTTTGTCTGTGGCCGATGTAGAGCTTGGTGTGGCCTGGCTCTGATCATTGAAATGCGCCTCAGGCCCACGGAAAGCAGAATTCCAGTGGAGGCAGGGGCATCAGCAAGATGTGTGGGTGACTTCTCCCCTCCCTCCCCAGGAAAGAATGGGGCAGCTGCAGAGGAACACAATCCAAAAGAGTAATGCGAACAAGCCCTCCTGGGACCCCGGTTGGATTTATCTGAGAGAAAGATCGGTGGGGAAGATGACTGAGGTCTTTCCTGCTCCAGCAGGTTCTTGTAGATGAGCATACTGGGACCCTCTTGAGTGTTAGGAGGTAATGCTTTTAAACCATTATGTCAGGACAGCTGGCATCAGCTGGACATGTGGCCATCCTACTTCTGTGGGCCCAAACTAGCATCTGCTAGTTTCTTCTTCCACTTCTTCCATTATCTTTTCGTTAGGGATGCTTCCTGAGAAGAAATATTCTTCCCCAGTCACTAATGCTTTATCACTTCAACATCTGTGGAAGGTGATGCCATTGATCTGCCTTCCACAGAGGTAGGAGCCCCATTTTTGAACCTAGAGTATGAAGAGAAAGCAGGGTCAGAGGGAGGTCCCATGATGGTTGGACGGTTAAGCTCAAGGTATGCTTGCCATGACTTGGCTGCTTCTTCTGTAGAGTGTGTGTGCTCTCAGCTTCCTCCCTTACCCAGACTGTGGCTGCCGCACAGCAATGCTACCAGGGACTCTTGCACCTACTTACGATGGCTGAGCACACCTATTTTTCTTAGGCATGTGAATGTGGAAAAACGAATGCTAACATTTGAAATCCAAGCCATTGTTTCATAGCTGAAGGAAGACCCCAAAGGAAGGAGCATTTTCCCACATGAAATATTTACCCTTTTAGCCCTGAAGTTGACTAGATCTTTAATAGGAAAAAACAAAACAAAACAAAACAAAACAAAAACCCACCACCAAAACAAACAAACAAAAAAACACTCAGAAAAATTAAAAAAATATATATATATTGATTTTGTACAGAGAGGAAGGGAGAGAGATAGAGAGTTAAAAACATCAATGAGAGAGAGTAATCGATCAGTTGCCTCTTGCACAACCCTTATTGAGGATACGCCTGCATCCAAGGTACATGCCGTTGACCGGAATTGAACCCGGGACACTTCAGTCCGCAAGCCGACGCTCTATCCATTGAGCCAAACTGGACTCAGAAAATTTTTTTTCGAATAGGTCAAAGTCAAGGTTTACTCTGTTAATTCCCTTAAAAAAAAAGAAAAGAAAAGAAAAGAAAAGAAGAAGAAGAAGAAGAAGAAGAAGAAGAAGAAGAAGACAAAAAGAAAAATGGCTCCCTTGCCTGAGTGGTCTTCTATGTGCCTATTTAATGATTAATAATACCTTGTTGGGCTATTGTTTGATGTGGCCACTGCTGGTTTGAACAGGAGAATACTGATTCACTGGTAAGGCATTTATGAATCACGAGTGTTTACCCTGAAAAAATAAATGAACTGGGGAGATGAAAAAAACACCTAAGTGTGGTGAATTCTTTGACTAAAAACCGGAGATAACCCTGTGTGGGGTCCACCGCTTTCTCTCGGAGAAGAAAGGTTGTGTACAATGACCAAGACCAGGGCTTCGGAGTTTGTGGGGTTTTTTCCTTTTACCTACTGATAGGTTTGAGCCAACTTTCCCACTCCGTTTCCGTACAGCATGCATTCATCTTCTCCTGATTTGCCTTTTGGCCCGTAAATCAGAGGGGAAGCTGGAGCCCTGCCTTAACTTAAGTGGGGCTGGTGGGCTGAAGAGAAGGGATTCAAGAGGTTGAGACCTGCCAGGCCTCAAGTGGACAATGATGGGGAAGGAGGAGTCAAAGGATGACAACTGGTTTGTTGACTGAACTATGTGGACCCTTCTTCCACATACCACTTTTAATAATAACTCCTAGACTTGTTTTTCTTCTTTCTACCCCAACGTCTAGAGTTCAGTGAAAAAAGACTTCCAGATTTCCCCCAATGACGCTTAAATGTATTTTTATATTTTGAGATAATTTTAGACTTATAGAAAAGTTGCAAAAATAGTACATAGAGCTCATTTATACCCTTGAACCAGCTTCCCAGCATTACCATCTTATACAATGATGGAGTGATCATTAAAACTAAGGAATCCATCTTGCTCCAGTACTGTAACTACAGACTTAATTCAGATTTCACCATTTTTTCCATTAATGTATTGTGTTCTCTTTCTGTTCCAGGATTCCACAGTGTGCTTAGTTATCTTGTATCCTTCATCTGCTTCACTCTGTGGCAGCTCCACCATCTTTCCTTGTCTTTCATGATGCTTTCAAGAGTCCTAGTCAGTTGTTTCATAGAATGTTCTCCACTGGGGTCTGTCTGATACTGAGGAGCTGCATTATTGGGAAGAACGCCCAGATGTACATGACATATTTCACTGCTGTAAACATGATCACAAGGTTAAGATCGTTTCTCTAGTATTGTCTATTATCAAGTTACAACTTTTTGTATTTTTTAAAAAAGATTTTTGGGGGATGTGTGTGTGTGTGATATTTCAAAGCAATGCAAATATGCTATTATGCTTACACTTCCGCCTACTAAATCTATCAAAGGCTCTCACCTGTGGCAATGAATGCTGTGGCGATCTAAAAGTCATGTTATTTCCCTTATTCATTCTACATTTATAATTGCAACTCTTTGAAAGGAGGAGTTGCATGATGTTACATTGTGATAAAGCAGAAATAAAAACAGCCAGTACTCTTGGAGCCTAAATTTTAGATGAAGAGAGAGATAAGCAAAATAAATAAGTGGACTTGATAGTATATTGAATGGTGACAAGTACTGCAGAGAGAAATTAAGGGAGGAGAGATAGAAAGTGCCAGGAGCTGCAGGTTTAAATTGCATGGTCAGGGAAGACCTTGGAGAGAAGACTTGAAGCAGAGGAGGGAACCAGTGTGTGAAGCTTTCTCCAGAAAAGAATTAGCAAGTACAAGAGCTCGGAGGCAGGACCACATCTAGCCTAAGCACTCTAAGGAAGCCAGGAGGCCAGCGTGATGGGTGCAAAGTGAGCAAAGTGGGAAGGGGAGTGAGAGAGTGATGAAGCCAAAAATGACAGGGCCAGCTGATGCAGGCCTGGGGACATTCTAATGATCTGCTTATTAATCCGAGGAAGGCAGGAAAACCATTCTAGAGCCATTGCAAGATGTTGAGCGAAGAGGTCACATGATGTGACTTTATATTATTAAAAGATCTGCTCTAGTAGGCAAGGGCAGAGGCAAGGAGACCCTGCTTGGGAAGCTATGACATCATCCAGGTAAGAGATGGAAGTGGGTTGGACCAGAATTGTAACAAAGTGGTGACTGGATTGTGCATATCTTTTGACAGTAGGACTAACACTGCTAAGAAAGGTCTTCAGCAGCTTTGGGCCACCATCTGAATGCCTAGGGCATGTTCCTCCCTCTCTCACCTTGAAGTGGGGCTTCACTAACCAGATTGAGAAGCATGGGCTGGCCACCTTGAGTCTAAGCTCTGCAGTCCCTCATTGGAGCCTTCTTTTTCTGGGCCTACCTTCATTTTTCTCTGCACCCCACTTCTGTCTGCCACAGGCCCACCTCTGCCCAGGCCAACCCACCACCATTTGCTCACACTCTCCCACCCCTGCTCTGCCAAACAATAGCCTTTCCCTCCCTTAAGGTTCAGCTTTGCCACTCAGAGCCCCTCTCGGAACACCTGCCCTCTTGGTTGTTGACATTAACTAGAGTCTGCTTCACGGGAGCAGCCCCTGGAGATAAACAGGCTCTCAGACACCCCAGCGGCTCAGGGACTCTTGAACACAGAGCCGGCACCGAGCGCTTGGTTGGCAGGGTGCTTGGTTTGTTGGCATATGGCATACGGTGCAATGAACACATCATGTTTTCTCTTAGTCATCCAAGTACACTTTGCATTATACTTCACATATATCCTCTTTTCTTTCCATGTAAAAACTATTTTTGCCTCTTCCTCTGCCCAATCTTTCAAGTGAAGTTAAAATTCCAGAATTCCTCTTGTTGGTCCAATCTGTGTCCCTTGTGGGGAGGAGGAATGTCCTTTGTATCTCAGCTTGAGAAGTCAGGGAGAAACAGGCATCCCTGAGGGCTGAATGTAAAAAACAAAATAAAATAAAACAAAACAACAACAAAACATATGGTTAGAAATTAGAAATTTTAAGCAGTACAAAAGTAACCCAGCCCAGTGGCTCAGTGGTTGAGTATCAAACTATGAATCAGCAGGTCACAGTTTGATTCCCGGTCGGAGCACATGCCCAAGTTGTGGGCTCAATCCCCAGTGTGGAGCAGTAAGTGGTTCTCTCTCATCATTGGTGCTTCTATCTCTTTCTACCTCTCCCTTCCTCTTTGAAATCAATAAAAATACATTTTTAAAAATGTGATTCTTCCATGGGTGGCCCCATCCCCCAAGCCGTGTTCCAGAGGCAGTCACTCATACCTGTCCCTTATATACCCATCGGAAGTGCCGAACAGTCAGTTGCTGGTAGCAGACAGTCACTACCAACTGAGTGCCGTGAAAACCAGCCTGGCTCTCCACTTCCCGGGGCCAAGGCAGCCCCTTGCAGAAGGGCTGGCTCAGCACAGTCAACCTGCCATTTTGATTGCTGCCTTTGGCTCAGACCACACAGGGGTGAGTTTGCAAAGACACCACACTCCGTGGAATTGGGCAGTGGGTGCCACCTTCCTTGGCTCTGGTTCTGTGCCCTCACAGGGAGGTTCGTTGTCACTGAGATTTCCCGGGTTGGCTGTCGTCTCTCCCTCAGAGTCAGCCCGGGGATCACGGCCAAAAGCTGTATCAGGGAAGAAAGGCCGGTGGGAGAAGGGGTGGAGGAAGCCAGCCCCCGAGCTGCGATTACAGCAATGCAGGGGATTACAGGGAGTTTCGGGGGGAGCTTTACCCCCCACCCCACTCCTGGGCTCACCTGAAAGGCGGCCCTCTCCCTCCACCTTTCCCGTGGGAATTCGGCGCAGCCAGCAGAACCCCTGAACTCTGCTGGGCCTCTGCCAGCAACTTTCAAGCCGTTCCCCCTGCCGACTACCGTGACATGATGTCGTTTTTTATTGAGGCAAGATTAGATTTTTTTTTTTTAAGTTTTCAAAAGTGTGGTTCACATGATCTCTAGTACTTTTCCTATTGCTTGAAGACCACAGAGCTGCCAATTTCAATTTGCTTCAGCTTTTATCACTAAAGAAGCTTAAAAGAAAGAAAGAAAGGGGGAGAAAGGCTGGATGAAAATATTCCCCTGGGCCCTGGCAGTTAGCATGAGGGTGGCAGGGGACACACGCATCGCTCACTCCCTTTTGTGTAACTGGTGTAACAGGAAGATGTCGGGAGATTGAAGCTGGGACTGGCTGCTGGACAGCACACAATGTCCTCTGGAGCGAAGGGTTTTTATGCCATCTTTCTCCAGAAAGAGAACGTGCAGCGTGGAGTCCCTCATAGTAGCCTGGACAGTATGAAAGAGGATGCTGATCTCTATGGAAATAGGTAAAATAAACTCAGAAAAGGAGTTCTTCCTCTTAATTCTAATTTCATGAATTCTTCTCTTTGGAGGCAAGATTTCCCATTCATTCATTCAACATATTTACTGAGCACCCATTATGTTGCTGGGAATGCAGGATGAATAAGGTAAAGTCCTATTTTTAAGAAAAATGGGAGAATACCTATTTGCAGGGATCATGGTTGCCAACTCAGCCCTCAACATGGGTGATGGGATGGAAAGTTAGGAAAAACGTGGGATTGAATCCTATTGTTTTGGCATAAAATCAGAGAAAAAAGTCTGGAGGACTAACGGACATGCTGGGGAAATAAATGTCTCCCACTCCATCAGGATCTTGGAGGAGAAACAACGTTTAAATGTCACAACCATTGACTTTCAGATTCCTAACAGTCTGATTATCCCCACACCAGCCTGTGAAGTAGGGAGGGGCAGCATTCATCACAGCTCTGCTCATTCATTGCACCTGGCTCATGGTAGGTGCTCAGTCAGTGTTTGCTGAATGACTGTGGGTAAACCCCCAATTTACAGGGCGGGACAGGTTCAAGAGTAATCAGGAGATTGATCCTGAGTCACCCGGTAGTAAGTGGCAGAAGCTGGAGCACACACATCAAGGCCCATCATTCCTCCTAGAGGCACCACTCTGGAGATTTCTCCAAACCACTGCCCTTCCTTTGACTGGCAGGAAAGTGACTCTGGAGTGAACATCCCCCAAGGTTGCAGTGAGTTTTTGGAGAGTAATTCCAATGGATGGAGGACAAATTGACCACAGCTGTGGACAGGACACATCATGAACAGACCTGGTTCCCTTGGAAGTTCCTCCCAGGATTGAGCTGGTTGGGTTAAGAAGCCTGAGTGTTGGTTGTTCTTTGGGTGTAGACTCCTATCCCAAATTGAGGTGGAATATTTTGTGGAAGTTTATGCATCTCCCCAACTTACTCTGTCTCTGTCAAACATCTGGATCAGAAAAGGCTGGTTTTAGAACAAACTTGGGAAGAAATCACTTCCAATTTGTGTCTCATGAACCTTGATTTTTCTCCTCCACAAGGGGATAAAGTGGGGCGAGTCCCAGGGAGTTTTGAAGGATTCCCTAGGATATCGAGCGAGGAAGTCTAATCCCACTGGCTGGAAGGAACCAGAAAGCCACTGAGTTCCTGCCCCTTCCTCCAAAGACAGAGGATCACAGCACTGGATAGGCCTCTAGCCAGGAAAGCAGTGTGGGAACAGGAAGGAGCCTGCGGAAAAGGAGAGTCTGGATGAGAATGGAGACCAGAGGTAGAAACCCATCTTCCTGTCCACTCTCCCCAAGAATATGAAGTGGTGTCGAAAGCTCCGGAGTAGTCGTGCCTCTGCTGTAGACTCACCGTGTATGTCCATGAGGACCACATTCATGGCCCCTTCTCTGGGCCTTAGTTTCCCCATTAGCAGTCTCATGGACCCTCTCACCCTCTACCAGAACCATGTGGCTTTTGCCTGTTCACACATTGCATGTCCTCATACCATTTTTTTTTAAAAAAAAATTCCATTGGGTTTTGTGTTTAAATTTGAAAACCACCAAATAGATGCTCTCAAAAATTCTCTCCAGCTCTAAAATCTCCTGAGTATTCCCTGTGCCTCCCTGGCTTTTGGATTGCTCTCCCCTCTAACCTGTAGTCCCTTGTGCTTTAGCCACTTGAATGCTTGCTTTGCTTTCCCCAAAGACTTCTTGCAGCCCAGTTCCACGAATAATTATGAATATGGGGAACCTCTTTCAAAGGCCACCTGGGCCAGGTTATCTGGCTCTCAAACTGCTCCTACTGAAGCAGGATAGGCTGGAGACAGTTGAACAAAGAATTACAAAACTGAACAGTTTTCCTTAGAATACTCTTCATCAATAACTGGGACCTTGTCTTATTTCTCTCACCCATAGCCAGCATGTGTAGGACACTTAATAAGTGCTTAGTAAATATTTCCTTAAAGAACTGATGAATGAATGTCTCGTTTCCATCTTTGGGAGGAATCGCAGATGTATCCGTAGCTAAGGGCCTTCCCAGGACTGAGTGGAGCTAGGTAGACTGTGTGGGCTCTGGGATTTCCTTTTACGAGCTGGGCTGATTACAGCTGTTGGGTGTTGTTACCTTTTATGGGTTGAATTGTGTCCCCAAAAATATATGTTGAAGTCCTAATCTCCCGTACCTCATAATGTGACCTTATTTAGAGAGAAGGCGGTTGCAGATGTAATTGGTTAAGATGAGGTCATACCAGAGTAAGGTGGTTTTTTAATCCAATCTGACTGGTGTCCTTAAAACAAGAGGCACCGAGGGAGAAGTTGGCCACGTGATGAGGGTGGTGGAGGCTGGAGTGGTGCATCAGTCTGGGAGCGCGTTTCGCTTCCCCGTGAAGAGCGGGGCATGCGTGTCTGAGCTAAATGTTGTGCAGAGTCATTGTCCTTCTCTCCTTACAAATGGTGCCCCTTGCTTCTGAGTATCTTCCCTGAGTTTTGTTTCATCCACCTGTCTGGGGTAGGTTTCCAGTTCTGGCTTCTCCTCTTGTGTCCTTGATCATAGAAATACAGCCCCCCTTCCATCCCCAAGGAGATTCAGGAGTTTCATAGGACCCACCTCACTTCTGGTTACTGAATAACTGTTGGGGCATCGAATGTCAAGGCGAAGAAAGCAGAAGGGCCTACGTGTTGGACCAAATTACCTCATAGCCCAAGCTGTTCCCATGGTGTCTGCTTGCACTGTCTGTCAGCAGCTCTTTCATCACCAGCCCCACTTACATCACACTGTCCTCAACACCCACCCTGATCATTGTCACCTGCTTATCCCACAGAGCACAGGTGAATGGCAGCAGTTTAAAGTTTTGATTTAGCCTGGAGCAGTCTGGCAGGTCTCAGGACAGGCGGGATCTTTTATTTCCAGCCTTAAGAATGGAAGTTGTGAATGGGAAAGGAATGAGGAGCTTATTGTGTTTTGATTCAAAACGCACCATTAACATCCCAACCTGGATTTCTACCCAAAGCTTTTCTCAGCAGTAGAGGTGGAGAAGGGCATCCACTGACTGCCTCCTCCCACTCACTCCCCCTCCCTTCCTCAAATCTGACCCATGGCTCTCTTGCAGGAGAGATGGTCCTGGTGCCATTTCTCTGGCCTGGGAGCCACAGCACCAGCATCTGTGAATGGACGTCTTAGACCCACCCATCTCTGGGCTTTAGTGGAGAATGAGACGGGCTCCCTTAGGCTGTGTGTGTGGAACTGCTTTTCACCACTGGTGCTGACTTTAGCATCTCTGAGAGATTGCCACATGGACACAGAATGAAAAATGGTCTCAGCTAGCAAGTCGAGGTTTCATCAAGTTAGAGGTGAAAGAACCTGAAAGGGCTGATGTTAAATTCATTCACTTGCTCACTCACTCATTTATTTATTTACTCTTTGATTCAACAGATATTTCCTGAATATCCCCTACAGGCCACTCAATGTGTGATGTGCTAGAGGAAGAGACAAGGCCACAGTT